TCTACTACTTTTTATCCGTCCCCAGCGACTGCCATTTCTGAGCCTAGACTTATACAAGAAGTATGTTTTCTTAGACTGTGCACCATGACATCATTCTGGTTCACCATGGAGTGCACCTTTTAAATTTTAATTATTTAGAATCAAATGAAGGGCAAGGGATGACAGGTTGTGCCAGCACTGGCTATACTGAATTTGGCGTTTTGCCCCTCATTAGCGTGCCCATGGTGCTCACCAACGCAGTAAAGTTGTTCGTTTTATAGAGAGCAACTAGGTTAGTGGTTGGCGAGCGCGGGTATGTGATTTGCTCCTTCTTTCAAATAAACTCAAATATCTACCGTCCTGAACTCTCTTCTTTCTTTTATGTGATTGTTACTCTCTTGTAACACCTCTAATCCTTGACCCTTATATGATGACTTAATTGTATTGCACGTGCTGTTAAACTAAACTAAACTAAACTAAACTAAACTAAATTAAACGAAACGAAACGAAATGAAAAGGAACTAAATAAAATGGCAAAGAGCGGCGGCCGCGGCAGTGCTTGTTCTAGGATTATAAGTTCATGCCACTGAGACGTAGGATAGGCATACACCCACTCAACATAACACTTTTGTTCTGACGTATTTAAACGAAACACCATAATAAGATCAGCGGGGTCCCGTGCATTCAGTAAGCTGTACAAGTCTAATCTTGTTCCAACCCAGTCTTTTCAAACTTATGAATACTGACGTGCTACGTTTTCATGCTGCCTCAATCTCCCTTTATCCTTTGGAGCCTATCACATGTACTTCAAGTCTTAATAGCCTCCCCCTCTCTCGTCCTCTTTTCTCTCTCCCAATCTCTCTCTTTCTCTCTTCTCACTCCCTCTTGTTATCTCTCAATCCCTCTCCACCCCTTTCTCTCTCCCTCTCTTTCTTTTTCTGCCTCCTTATGCATCTCTCTCTTTCCTTCCCACCCACCCCCCTCTCTGTCTCTTTTTCTCTTTCCTAAATAATCTCTCTCTCACCTCCCTCTCTCTCTCTCTTTCTCTCTCTCTCTCACTCTCTCTCTTTCTCTCTCTCTCTCTCTCTCTGTCTCTCTCTCTCGTCTCTCTCTCCTCTCTCTCTCATCCGGACTTGACCGCTTAAGAAAACGGTTTACTTTATTCAACCACTACGTTCTTTAGTCAAAAGGGGAATACGTGTATTCACGCCCCAGCGGGTTTCGACTTTTTTTGTTACTTGTTCTGCATGGACTGATTCTTCACAGCCCACTTGCTTCATTTGTCAAAACATGACATTATTGACATTACGGACACAGAATCGAGTTGTGCACTGTATGAACTGTTGTATTGTTGCTCAATCTGGGAATATCTAGTTCGTTTTCAAGTTAATCATTCGTTTTTGGAAAGTGTCGACACAGCTCAGTCTAATCCAACCACACTTTCAATGTTTCAAAGTAGGCCTTTTTCCAACCCCCATCAACATAATTTACATGTAGATCATTAAGAGGCAGACTGCGACCCTGCCTGTAAAGGCAATCTCGGGCTGAATGGGATACAGCGTCCCTGCACAATGACAGAAATACGTGATAGAAATTATCCCCAAACGCAAATCGAACTCGGGTCTTCTGCGTGTGACGTCTAAGCACCTAACCGCTACCCCACATTCCACTCTAATCAGTCAAACGTAAACCGTCTTGATTCCGATTCCATCCCATCCTAAAGTAAGACCAAAGTCAATCACTTACTCACTAACCACAGTAGATTATGTCCAGATAATGTAATACAATCTGCAATACTGTGAGCAATGGCGGGTCATTGCATGTCAACTTTTGAGTTGGAGGTGACACCTCCAGATATTCAGTTATAATACCTCTATTGTGTGAATGTGGGCATAAAATACCTACAATACACCCCCCCCCCCAAAAAAAAAAAAAAAAAAAAAATAAATAATTTTTAAATGTTAAAATATCTACTCTAAGAGTCTATTTAACGTGAAAAATGTATCGACTTCTTGTTAACAACTTTTGATAGAATACGTCAATTTATTCAAAATGTTGACTCTTAATATGTTTTGATGTGTCTTTATATCAGAGAAAAAACGTTTTCATCTAGCTACTAATAAGAAAAGTTTACTCTTTGTTCTCGTTAATTGAAATATTCTTAATTTAAGCTGAGCAGGTGGTTGGTGGGTGCTCGGGTGTAGTTTGCTTCTTTTTTCTGTTAAAATCTATCGTCCATATCTCTCCTTCTTTTTGTGTTTGTTACTCGTTTATAATACGTGTAATCTTCGGCACTTACATGACTTTCTTGTATTGCAAGTGCTCTTAAACACGTACTGAAACAAAAAACTTTAAGTACACTTACAATATTAATGCTTTCTGATAAGCCTTACTTTGAATTCAAGGAGCTGAAAATAAAAACAAATTTATGTTTACAAATCTTCTTTTATTTATATTGGCCATCTCTGTCATACATGTCAAATATGGGTATATATAGTAAGTCAGCGCTTACGCTGATTATTCGATGCTGGTTATTTGACGCCGATTATATGACAGAGAAACGCCTTAAACTGTTCTTAGGTATTGGAGAATTACGTTTATTAAACAACAACCCAAAAGAAAAACCAAAAAAACAAACAAAAAAACATAGATACAACAACAAAAAATTTATGATTTTTTTTTGAAAGACGTTCAAAACCTTCCAGAACAAACGGAAACAACAGAAACAAAACAAAAACCTTACAAAGCAACAAAATCCCCACCAAAGCACAAACAATTACAACAACATCAAAAACAGAGAAAGATAAGAACCCTCCAAACAAACAATGGAAATAATAAATGCTCACATATACGGCAATGGAATTTTGTTTTTAAAAAAGAAAAAGAACGAATATAAAGATTTGTTTCGAAGATAAGCATAATAAAAACAAAGAATAACAAACTTAAGCAGCCCCTCCCAACCCCTAAAACAAAACAAAAAGTTTTTTTTAAATGAGAGACGAAAAATCAACTGCCAGAGGAAGTATTTCTTGAAAGTCACCTGAGAGACTAAAACAAACAAACGAAAAACAAAAACAAAATACAAACAAAAAAAGGACTAAATATCGGAATCCCATAAGACAAAAGTGCATTGACATAATGAAAGAAGTCAGCGATGTGGAAGTCGTTATCTTCAGAGGTAATGGGGCGGGAAGACTTGTGTGCCCTTGGCTCCGTAGGGAAAAACCAATTGACACATTTGGGGGAGGCGGGAGGTGGAAGGGTTAATGGCTAAAGGGGGGGGGGGGGGGGGTAGTTGAAAGTTGGAAAAAGATTAGGTAAGAAAAAGTGTGAAAACGGTGAAGGCTGGAGGGGGAGCGAGGGGGGGGTGTTGGGGGAGGGTCGTTAAAATTTGGAGGAAGATAAGATGAGAAATGTGAGATGAGAGCCAGGGCTAGGGTGAGAGGGTGCCTTTTCGGTTGTTTGGATAAGTAGGTCTATGATAATAAACGTATCGGTCATTTTGGTAAGTAGGCCTATCATACTAGTGGAATCTTTGGGGTCTGGTGCGGTGCGGGGGTGGATTGTCAGATTAAGTTGGTGCTTGTGGGGTTTTTTTCAGGGACACAGAGATGAAATGAAGGTCGGAGAGTGGAATTGGCTGAAATATGCGTAGGGGTGTGGGTGAATGCACTGGAATAGCGAGCAAATTTACCTCTATTGCTCACCAAACAATGGATTGTTTAAAATCGGAATTGCAAGTAGTCTCGAAGCAGAGGTATCATTATTTTCCCTTTTTATGGTAATCGATACCAACTTTTCAAATTTACCCTCTGCGTACAACGGGCTTGAGATTGTCACCAATAATCCTACTGAGCAACAACTTCAAATTGTTTGATAAGAATTTTTGTCTTTTCGGAATCGATAACGGCCAATCAACTGTGACACCAATCTTCACTTTCAATGCGATCGACTCCTATCCATGGTTCATGGCAGTGGCAGCAAAGACTATCAGAATTTATCAGGAACCGAAAAATTAACACAAGACTACTACAGTGATTTAAAATCGCTTTCAGTGTGCTGCAGCTAATTCATTATCTTCTGGCGGTAAATAATAATCAACACATAAACAGAACTATAATAATATATGTGAATGGTATAGGTTTTACGACTCTATCAACACTATTAGGTATTTAAGAGGTGGGATCAATGAGTTTTCCGTCCATCTCCGAAAGGACTGAGCCAAACGCGAGATTCCTGTAAAGTTTCTTTCCCAAGGACACATCGTCGCACCTAGTAGTTGAGGCTCGAACCCTCGAACCCGCAATCTCACGATTACGAGTCCGATAGCCTAACCACTAAGCTACCGACGCCAATATGTAAATGAATGTGCCGAGCATGATGTCACACTGCGTGTCACTCAGGGAACAGTAATGCTACTAATTAAACAGAAAGGCCAAGTGAATTATTGGTTAGTCCCGTGCAGCCTCGATGGGACAGGGAATGCACCCCAACAAAACCAAGTGATTCGGGTAAGAGTAAAAGTAAATTTGCACCCCACCCCCTCACCTGTTCTGAACTAATTTGACCTCGAGCAAACAGGGGTCACAGTCGTAGGTCACAGTCGTAGGTCACAGTCGTAGGTCACTGTAGTGGTATGTCTAACAAGAACTGGAAAGAACTGGTTGTTACCTTTGATGTGTACAAAGCAAGGAGGGGGCCGGGTGACTATAACGATATCTTACTTTTACCGCAGTTTCAAACCCTAGAATGAATTGATATGTCTAACGATTTCGCGTCTTTTCTTGGAGGGATGGTATGGAGAGGGGAGAGGGAGAAAAAGGGGAGAGAGCCCAGGGGGGAGGGTGAGGGCCGGGGTGGGGTGAGTGGGAACGGGGGTGAGAGGACTGATGGGGGGGGGGGGAGGAGGAAAAGAAAAAAGGTGCGGAGGGCGGGCGGGGTAAATGTGGTTATTCAACCGAAGATCTTACTAGCCAACAACACCTAAAAGGACGGGGCGAAGCTTGCTGAAAGGAAAGTTTCTCATACATTCTCCCACACACTTCCAATCAGACGGGATCTAGATCTCGCTTCCCGAGCCTCGCGCGCTCAAGTGCAGCGGCCCCTGTGATTTCAGGCAGGATATTTTTAAAACTGGAGTGGACTTTTCTTTATCTGGTCGGTAAGTTTTTTAAAAATTAGCCAACTAGATATCTTTATTCTGAAAACAGAGCTGAACATCTGAACAGTCTTACTTTGTTGTAAGACGCTAGATGGTACTCAGTTAGTTAGTAGCACGGAACATTTTTCAGTTCAGTGCTATGTAATGCCCGTCGATCCCTCCCGCTCCTCATTCCAAATAAAGGATCAAACACCACACCGTTCCCCAAATATAAAAGAACAACAGCAACAGCAGCAGCAATAGCAACAACAACAACAACCACAACAACAACAACAACAACAACAAAAATAACAACAGGAAAAAACCATAAACCAACCTAAATATCAAATGAAGTACCTTACGGCAAACAAAAAAGATAAAGTAGATCAGAAAGAAAACAATAAAAATATAGAAAAGAAATCCATTTGTAGACGCAATACAGTCCGTTCATTTATAATCGAGAACGTGTTTGAAGCAAGATTTCTCAGCAACCACTTGTTCGTGTTTACTGAATTTTGAGTGATACTTATGGGCACTGTGTACGTTATAAAATACTTCCTAACTACAAATCAATATCAGATTTTCTACAGCGGGATCACCAACCATTTATCAATACTAGTACAGTGTTATAATCTGCTCTTTAAACATAGAAAGAGTTTGCCATGAAAGAAGCTGCATGAAGACAACCTTGAGATCTAAGCTAAATTGACCGTCTGCATAGACGAAAAGAACCATACAATCAATCACTATTTCTCATTAGATCTACAACAGCACTTTAAGTGTTTACAATATATATACCCATAAAAGCGAGATTGTGAAAAAACACATTAATACGACTGCATAATAATGACGACTTGTTATTATAGTTATAGTTGCAAAAACAATCATTCGTGTAGAGCAGTTAGAGGCCCTGTACAACCGTTAACTTAAGTTCTGCGCCTGCGCATTGGGACGTCTAATGGAGGGATCCCTCATTAGGTGCAGAGAGTGCTTTACTGTAAGAAACCTAAAATTATGCCATGTATTGCAATGAAGTGATCAAACATATTTATGAACAGAATAACAGCAGTGTGGTGTAAGACTATTGTATTCTAGGCTTTTTTGTGTAAGTTTTTCTTCAAATGTCAGTTGTGCTGTAAGACTTTTTGATATGTTTTCCTCAAATAGCAGTTAGCAAACCTGTTGAGGACATTATTTCTTGTTTCATTCGTTCTATAAAAATTTGGGTTCATTTTTATTCCAATGTTAGCTGTACTGTAAAACAGTTTGAAAGTGTTTCTTCAAGCATCAATATAACATTTTTTTTTTTTGCTTTGAAAAAGAGACTAATTTTCTCCAAACACTACCCTGTTATTTTATAGAAATTATTCTACACACAGCAGTTGTACTGTAAGGCAGTTTGAAAAGCTGTCTTCTAACAGCAGGTTGTACTATAGGGTTAAACTGTTTATGTACTGCACGACTGAAAAGTGTTTGAGCACTGTAGTTTTAAACAGTTTTCTTCAAACGTCAGACCTGTGGGTAGTTGGCGGGTGCTCAGGTGAGGTTTTCTTCTTCTTTCCCATCATTGTATCAAACATCTATCGTCTTTTATCTCTCCTCCTTCTTTTTGTGTTTGTTACTCCCTTTTAACACCTCTAATCCTAGGCACTTTTATGCAAGTGCCGTAAAACACTTACTAAAACTAAACTAAGACGTCAGACCGGAAACAGAGCACAGCAGTAGCAGTAAAGACGTAACCCAGGTTAAAGAAACTTCCTCTCCTTTTTTTCAGGGAAAAGGTACGTTTACCTGAATAATCCTACTTTCTATTTCTACTTTCCTCAAAATATAAAAAACAGCTTGTGTGGAGAAGTGTGCTACATCCAAATGGCATGAGTTCACTTACAGTGCAGGGATGATTTATTTTAATATAACTTAATCAATTTAATTATTTAATTTTTCATTTTGCTTTATTTTATTTCATATTTCTATATTTTTAGGCGGAATTGTGTGTGTGTGTGTGTGTGTGTGTGTGTGGATGTGTGTTTGTGTGTGTGTGTGTGTGTGTGGGGGGGGGTGATATTGTATTGGAATATTTCCGTCTGTCTGCTTGGATACTAAATGATTCCACTGCATTAGGCCTGCGTGGTTGTTCTTGACAGGCACGGTCAAAGCAAAAACTGCTCTAGATATGACTCACAAAAATGTCTCACGAATGTCCCTGTGAGATGGACTCACATCAATTTAGAGGTTCATGCACCCCAGTTAGGTAACCCTTGATCTAAATTGTGTCGACTTTCACGTAAAAAGAAGGCAGATAAACAAAGTCATTTTCTGCGTCTTTTTCAATCGATATCAGGCTGAGTAATCCTCCACAGTATCTCATGAGCTGGCCGTCTCTCGTGGCTTTTTTTTCTTCTTCAAAGTCAAAGAAACCCGTTCACAATTTGTTGCCCGATAGCCAATCAAAATTGTCCAATAACAAATACACGTGAAATGCATTTCCTTTTAGAGATAAAGAACAGAGACCCGCCATTTAGCTATAGCTTTTTTTATGGATTTGCTTTTACCCAACTTTCTTTTTTCAAAGTGAGCCGGATGACGAAGAGCATGCCAAGCGTGTACTGGAGAACATGTTGTTCAACTCAATTCACTGAACACATAAAAACTAAAAACAACTAACCTATTGATTTATCAATACACAAAATACAAAACACAAAACACAAACACACACACACACACACACACACACACACACACACACACACACACACACATACACACACACACAAGGATAATTAAGATGGCAAATAGTGGCGTCCAAAAGAAACTTGAAAATGAAATCTCCGTATCACTGTGTTAAAGCCTAGCAATACCTACTCGTGCTGTATACCAATTTAATGCTAAATGAATTCTGCACCATCCGACGCATTATTAAATCATCTATGTTAAGAGACGCCCGAGATGGGGTCACTCAAAATAGACTTTTAAAAAATCAGCTTTGCAAACTTGTGTGAAATAAAATAAACGTAAAATTGTCTTGGCGCGTGTATTAGGGAGCATCAATATTGATAGAAGTGACATACACTGCATATACAATGAATGGAGGATTTTGTATTGCAATAAACAGTATTCTATTTTGAAATGTTTGTCCCCATAGTTTAACCCCCCCCCCCCCCGGGAAAATATAGTAGTTACAAATACCATGAAAAACTTGGACTTAACATTAAATGTGCTCTTTTTCATTTTGCTTAGGAGCCATTATTTTTGTGTAGTGCACGAATCCTTTGGGCATCGACCTTATTACATTTTGGACATACAAAGTATCTGTCATTTCATCCCAAATGTAACAAAGAGTTACAAACAAAGGATCTGAATTTGGAACAAAGTTGCTTTTCTTCAGCTGCTGTTTCATGGTACTTCATTCTTCACATACCTGTTGGATTCATATCGGGGAAATATATTTACTGGTGATCATTCCATCGTTGATTTGATTTCGTTTTCCAAGAATTATCTAGTGGTGTTGGCCAAGTGAGAAAGTTATTTGCTAGGCATGGAGATGACAAAAACATGGGTAAGACATGACGTTCCAGCACTTGCGCAATGTAGTCCACTAAAACAAGCCATTCGGTGATTCTCATGAAGACAGTTTTGTTCATTCCCCCTTGACCACCCGAAAACCATAGCAGTTTCGTGGATTCTGTTCCTCACTGACAGATGATTATGATTAAAATCTAACTAATACAGTCCATGTGCGAAAAGGGTTTCGTGCTCCACACGAAATCATTAGCTCGTATACAAAAAAACAAAATTAATACTACTGCACCGTGTACATTTATCCTTTGAAAAGTCAGATCAGTCAACTAAAACTTTACCTCCAGTATGCGGTAAGTTTTAATTGCGATTTTTAGGATTTTCACGTTTTGATCGGTTATAACCAAGAATAACTCCCTCCTTGCTTTTATTTAAGTGTTCCTTCAAAGAAGAAGCACACCCCTTTCCAATTCAGTTCCCCTGGGTCTCCTCTCCTTTGTTCTCGCTTCCCCGATATCAGGCAAACCTCTTCGGTAGGGGCAGAGGTTCGCAAAATGTCCTGGTTGCAGGCGTTGCCTACTTGTTTTACTGGTCGCCATGACCTGTGCTTTTTGTTCCTTGTTAAAGAGGGAGCCTTTGAAGTGACATACATGTAGGGGTTTAGTGGACAAGTCTACCAACACATTTCTGTGACCCGTAATCCAATTTGGTTATCTTACTTTACCCTTTCCATCTTTATTGTTGATCTCTGCGGACCCTACAGCTATTCAGGTGGGTTTTTTTCGATAGTCGATTCACTACAAGATAGAGGGATGTCCAGGATTGTTAGAATGGTCCCCAGGGTCTCCATGCCATTCTCACCTCTCCCGCTAAAAGAGTTCTTGAAGGAGGGGATTATCAGGATGTTCCTTATGAGAAAACCCTGACGGGCAGGTGGTTGGAGGGTGCCATTTGTAAGTCTTACTTCTTCACTTTCCCTCTGTTGTATCTGTTTGTCTATCTGTCTTACCTTTACCAAACACTAAATGACCATTATTATAATATTTGCCTATGTGCTTCTCTTTACTCAAACAATTACAAACAAACAAACAAACAAACAAACATATAACCAAACAAACAACTTAAACAAAACCCTGACACCAGAAGGGACGCTCAGCCCTCTGAGGCGACCGTGTAAATTCTCCACAGTCCCCCTGACTTTTTGTGCCCCAACAATCGATTGTGGAACCGCGGTTTTCTCAGCCGCGGCCCAGATTTTCTTTTAAAGGTGATATTTTCTGGCAGGCTTTTCGGTTGCACAAATATCTCCAACGCCCATCTGATTTCACTCCCAATGGTAATTAGAGGTGTTGAGGATATAAACAGTTAGTTCACCTGAGAGTGGAAAAAAAGAAAAAAGTCCGAAAATCCAAGAGAAAAGTAAGTGTGTTTGTGTGTTTGAGTAGATGTATCGTGCTTCTGTGCATGTGTGTGTGTTTGTGTTTGTGTGCGTATGTGTGCGTGTG